AGGGGGTGATTTCTCACCTTCTGTCTCTCTGTCTCTCTCTGTCTTTCTGGCAAGTGCACACACCCTATAGCAAAAACCTCTATAAAAAAAAAAAAAAAAAAAAAAAAAAAAACAGATTAGTCTATATAGAAGACTGAATCTTGGATGTTGAAGGGAAAAATCTCTAACCTAGAAAAAACAACCAAAAAACTGAGAAAATAACAAAAAAAATATGAGAATACTATATGAGAAATATTAGATACCATTAAGCACCCAAACATCTGGATAATCGGTATCCCAGCAGGTGAAGAAACTAATAAAGGCTTTGATAATCTACTCCATGAAATCCTAGAAGAAAACTTTCCAAATCTAGGGAGGCATTCAAATACCCAGACCCACAAAATACAAAGGACCCCTAGTAGAATCAACCCAAGAAAATCTTCTCCAAGGTACATGATAGCTAGATAGGTAAAATCCACAGACAAAGACAAGATACTAAAATTGGCAAGCAAGAAAAGTCAGACTACGACTGAAGGTATAAATAATAATAATAATATGATATTTAAAAGCAAAGTTACAGGTTAATATCAGACCTAGAAACAATGAAAGCAAGGAAAGAATGGGAAAATATATTCAAAGTGTTAGTAGAAAACAGCTTCAACCAAGAATACTATTCCTTGCAAGATCATCCTTCATATGGGAAGAAAAGATAAAAATGTTCTCAGATAAAAACATGAAAGAATTTACCCACACCAGACCAGCTCTTCGAGAAGTTCTGAAAGTAATGCTTTACCAAGAAAACTAAAGACACACATACAGAAATAAGAGAACAAAAAGCAACCAAGAAAATGACCAACCAGAGGATTATCTTGAGGAAGACAATGAAGGAAGAAAAAGAGACTGATCTTTGCTAGCAGATGGTATATCACAGAGTACTTGGTAGGCAGGGCTGAACTGAGAAGGTTTATATGAATTGTGTGCTGGGTCTTTGCTTTTCAATAGTTTGAGTAGTTGACATATAAATATTTTCTCAAAAATATTTAAAACCATACTGTCTCTGCTGTTATAAAGTCACAAACAAAATTATAACAAATATTTCAAACATTATCCTTAAAATTCAGTTTTTTGAAATTTTGAAAGTTGTGTATTACCTGCCAAGGACTATGGAGTATGAGCAAAAATTTTTTGATGTGTAAAGTAAATGTTTGTGGGAAAATGTAAAAATAAATAAACAAATGATTTTTTTTTTTTTAAAAAAGAAATACTTCAAATGCCCTTTGTCCCCAATGCCCTTTCCAATCTTTGCCCCTCTGGTGAGGCCTCAAGCATCTTTTTTTTTTGGGTGGGGGGGGAGGGAGAGGTTTTTGCTATAGGGTGCATGCACTCACCAGACAGAGAGACAGAGAGACAGAAAGCAAGAAATCATACTCCAGGGGGGATGGCCATGTCGCAATCCCTTCTCCATTCTCCTCTTGGGATCTTGGGCACACATGCACATGCGCCTGGCGTGAGTTTAAGTCACTGGGTCTGGGACTTTTTTTTTTTTTTTGAGAGTTTTTTGCTATAGGGCGTCTGCGCTCACCAGACAGAGAGACAGAAAGCGAGAAATCACCCCCCAGGGGGACTGGTCACGCAGCATTCCTTTCTCCTCCGTTCTCCTCTCAGGATCTTGGGCACGCAAGCACACGTGCCCAGCGTGAGTTTTAAGCCACCGCGTCTGGGACGCAAACCATAGTCAACTACATGGGAGTCCAGCGACATAGCCATTATGCTAACTGCTGATTCCAAGCATCTTATAATTCCCAGCTCAACACTTCTCTCTTGTTTAAAGCTTTTTCTACTGTCTCCAAATAGAGTCCAACCATGCCCTTTATCCTAACAATGAATTCTAATAAATCTAATTCATATATTTTTCCTGGGGTGGGGGGGAGGAGTCCTTTGATGAGGTGGTGGTTGTCACCCTTCAAGTACTACTGCAACATTTAGCAACTGGGAACATTCCCTTACAAAGATGCACTTTTTATCACTTGCTAATTCTCTAAAGTTCAGAGCCTTCCCTCAGCACAAGCCTCCAGGTCATGAACAATGGGACTGTCACGCTAATAACACCATTATAAAATAATGACTACAAACAGCCTATGCTGGAAGTGTACCTCCTCTTAATTCCCCCGAGACTTTTGCCCTTACTACAACTTGAATAGAGAGAGCACTTAAAAAGTTTAAATGGACCAAATATTAACCAGCCTTTAATATGCAAGCTAATTTAAAAATGGCCCCTTGACCTGGAAATACAGGTGCACTCAAAACCACACCCTGATAAGAAAGGACAGAGGATAGAGTTCAACATCTTGAAGCTTACCAAGTCCAGTTCCTTGTAATAAACTCTAGAAGTACAGCAATGTTTTAGACATGGTTTAGGCATGCTTATCCTCGTGTAAGAAGTCTCACTGAAACAGGGTCCATATGGCAATGTGTTTCAGAAAGCAAAAATCCCGCTGGATAGGTATTAATGAAAACCAAGTACAGTGTTTATAAGGAAAGTGACATGCAGAGAGGCAACCTAACTACAGATAGCTACAAACAACTGTTCCAATGAGTTGTGATCACACTACAAAAGTACTATGGTTTGCATTTAAAATACATGACGATGTTAAAATACAAAATTAATTCTCAAAAGGTACTTCATACATGGCTTCCTAAATACACTCTCTCTTAATAAAAGCTTGTTAGCTTTGTCTAGTTAAGGAAATCAACAGGGGGAAGATGGTATTTCTTTGAGCATGAACTATACTGTGCCAAAAAAAAAAAAAAGGAAAAAAAAAAGCAACCTAATTAGTTCTATTTTGGGTCTAGTTTCCAAGGCAGTCTTCACAAAGACTATTCTCAGTACACTGTTTCTAGCTTTGTAACTTCAACCTTCAGCAGCAAGAAACTTCTATTTTGTGTAATCCTTTGACACATGGGTTTAATCACAGGCTATCAGGAGCAGAAAAAAAGTGTCAACCCATGGATTCTAAAGTTTCAATCTTAACATCACTACTGTGTTTATTATTTTACGGTATCATGGGACATGCCCCTACTAGGGCCTTGTAATTTAGGATACTGGTACATCAAGTTCAGGTGGACTCCTCCCAGAATCAGAAGTGCCAGTCCCAGCAAAGGCATGACCCAGAAGGGGAATCAGGAAACTTAGGTTCTAATTTCAAAAGGCCACTGACTTGACCTTGGGCAACTCACTTCACTTCTGTAATTCAAACTAATACCTGCTTCCAAAAGAGGATGCTTTCAGGAATCGTTAAATGTGCGGAACATCTCAAATATAATGGAATTTTATAAACAGAAGGTTTTACAAAACTATTCTCTAGCTCCGTTTCCTGACCCATCAGATCTATAAGGCCATGGAACTGCATTTCTTAGAAAGTTCTTATTTGTATGCCCCCAAGTCTGATTCCTTCTCTAGCCTTAAAGAGAATAGTGCTACTTATTCTTAAATGTGAAGCAAGGGTAACCTTCAGAAAGGGAGTGAAAAGGCCTCATGAACTAAGATACAGGGCTAAATTACAAATGACTGGTAGAAGTACTGCACTGTCTGCTCGGGTACTCGAAAAAAGCTGGAAGACGACAACTGTGCCCTGCGTAGGACACTCTCAAACCTCCCGAATCTCTTATACGGAAAAAGGACAGAGGAAACGAAAGAGCTGCTGCGGGAGTGCGACAGCCAAGCCTCCAGCGTCAGGATCTGATGACACGTTAGAACGGAAGGTGCGCGGCTTGGGTTTAGTCTTTCCCTCACTTTGTCCCCTCTACAAAGAGGTGCCAGGTGCCGGCCTCTACACGACTGCGGCTCCTCGGGTGGCAGGTTCCACCCTGATGTCAGCATTTGTCCCAGACCCGAAGAGGGCCGCTGGAACGGGAAGAAGCTGAGCTGCAGCCGAGTGGAAGGTCCAGCTCTCCCGGCCAGCGGTCGCGGTCATCCTGGGGGTGCACCATCACCGAGGCCCGGGATGTCGACCCGCCTTGAGAAAGGAGGACAGAGCGCCGGGTGGGGAGAAGGAGCAGCCGGCAGCCTGCACCCTCGCCTGCCATTCCGCGGGCCCCGCCCTCGCTCCC